CCCCAAAACCCCAAAACCCCAAAACCCCGTAGAATGCAATTAGTTGACAATGAGAAACATTGACAAAATAAACACGCTGTTAATAGTTTACAAAATAATTGAAATAAATAGATGTTTAGTAAAAATAATAAGAAAACGAATGAACAGTTAATGTAAGTTGAAATTAATAAGTGAGTATGATGAACTTTAGAAATTCTAAAGAAATTAATAGCTTAGAGATTGAAACTAATGCTTCAATCTCTTTTATTATATTTTGCATTCATCTCATTAGAGATGCTTGTAGACTGGCTTTGGACAAATTATAGTAGCTCTCTAAGTAGTCTGTAGAACATTAGGTCTCTTTATTGCATTTAATAGTAAGTTGAAACGATCATTTCTTATGTCCTAAGTTTCACTGAACTGTCGTTTCTTCAAAATGTTAGGTTCATTTAAATCAATCAGTTATGTATTCAGAATTTCAGATGTGCTTGATTTTGAACTTGAGAGACAAATTTAAGAGTGAGATGAGTTGTTTTTTTCAGTTTAGTTATCCCTAATTTTAATAAATGATGTATCTCCTTGCCTTAGAATTGTCTGCTGGACAGAGCTTTTAGCAGTCTACTGATTTTATTGTGTCTTTGATGGATATTCCCTAGTGTAAATCGGCTTGTTGATTGCATAAGATAGCTCATTCTTTTAAGAATACACTATTTACTATGAATTAATCTCATTGATCTGATTTTGATCCTAATATGAATTTAATTTTAAATATTTGTACATTAGTTAATTTGGTTTAATTTCGCAATTTATCTTATTTCTCAGATTTTTGACTTTCTAGAGTGAAACCTGCTGACCCAATCCACTGAAAGACGTTTTTGTTTTTACCATCTTTCTGTTTCTTGATGATTCCGAGTGATTTAAGTACGTTTGCTATGTCGTAAAGTCTCCTGCTCTTTTCAATAAGTTTAAACAAAATTTAAGGTACCTTAGATTTAAATAGCTAATGCCCATCTTCAGTTTCTTCAAAAATACTCTCAGATGCCTCTTCAAGTGACATTAGAGGGCCCTTTCTAAGGAACAATTAGATAAAAATCAGAGTGAGGACTCCCAAAGACTTGTGTCTTTTAGTTTTTATTGATATCAAGTTCTAACTTGTTTCTTGCTCAATGCAGCTAAGGGAGCATTATTAAGAGCTTTGTATTGCTAAATTGCATTGAGATTTATCAATACTTGATAATGTCAGATCATCACCAAAGTTGACCATAGTCAAGGCTTTCGCCTAATAAAAAGGGAATAAAATGAGACTAAAATCATACTTCAAGCGTCTCAATTCGCTTTTTAATAGTGTCAGGAGGGGAGAGACTGTATAAATTCTTCTGCAGTCTCTTGATCATATCAAAACTCTCTAGTATATTCACAATGTCATAAATCCTTCTCCTTTCGATGCCCAAGATCTCCACACAGCTCTCGAGGTTGACTTAGTTATCTTGATTTTTGGCGCCAAATTAATTTAAAAATTTAAGACAGATCTCTCCCAAACTTTTTTCCGCCCTGCTCTATGGACCCATTTCTGAAAGTACTTACTCTTAACAATTCATCTGGCTATCATATCTTTGTTGAGTAGACAAGTTTTAAGATTCTAATTGATCTCTCTTTTCAACAATAAATAGTTGAGATGGCTAAGATTGTCTTTAGCTAGAGATAATTTGAGATATGGATTGCAAATTATTTGATTGCATTTACTCTTAAGCCTGAAGCGTCTTTTAAGACTTGAGCAGTATTTGAGATAACTCTCCTTGGTTCTTATTTTACTCTTAGATTTAGATGGCTGAGAGATTATCTTAAGAAAGTCGGATTTTTTATTATTATTCCGCGAAAGTTTATAAATTTTCTTTTAATTTATGAATACTTTGTATTTACGAGTCTTAGTTTGCTGTTTAGGGGACTGAAGCTTTGGCTTGGTTTAGAGCTATTACATTTTTACCGCTTATCTTTCCACTTACTAGCTTAAACATTCCACAGTTGCTTCGATTCTAGGAGATATTAGCTGACTATTGAGGCTTAACGCTTTCTGACTGGTTTTGTGAAGTTTAAGTAAGCTTCTCTATTTCCTTGGCTTAAAACATTTCACTTCGACTCTTTGAATGTAGATTGTTAAGTAAATTTAATAATTCTACCTAAATTTCATCATTTAAATTCAAGCAAGATTTCTCCACATCCTCAGATTCCTTTCAATTAAATCTCAATTTCTACCTCATGGGGTTTTGGGGTTTTGGGGTTTTGGGG